TTACCGTATAAGTTAGCACACAAAATATACTATTTTATATTGAACTGAACACTTAGTCATCTTGGTCATCTTCTGTCTCAGTCTGAATATAAATTGCTCAGCCTATCCTCCTCCCCATACTTGTCCCTATATCATCTCTCTTCCTGAGAAATATGTGATTTTAGCCTCCCTGAGGCTACAGGGTCAGACTGAGGCAACTCTAGAATGACAAAGGCTTATTCCGCTACAAATTGAATTCCAGTCTGGGGTGACCCTGAGGGTTCAAATTTGGACCCTGTACATTATAAAGCCAGTCTGAATTTCTTTTTCTTTTTTTTTTTTTTAATTTTTTTGAGATGGAGGCTTGCTCTGTTGCCCAGGCTGGAGTGCAGTGGTATGATCTCAGTTCACTGCAACCTCCACTGGGATTCTCCTGCCTCAGCCTCTCCGAGTAGCTGGGACTACAGGCTCATGCCACCACGCCCAGCTAATTTTTGTATTTTTAGAAGAGACGAGATTTCACTATGTTGGCCAGGGTGGTCTTGAACTTCTGACGTTGTGATCCACCTACCTCAGCCTCCCAAAGTGCTGGGATTACAGGTGTGGGCCAGCATGCCTGGCCACCACTCTGAATTTCTGAATCAAGCATGAAATTATTCTAATCTCCTTGGTAGCCCTCCAGATGAAGACTGATTAGACTGCACTAAGAAACAAGACCTATGGTGAGTGACATCCAGTATCCCTCACCACACTCAGCACAGATTTAAGAGTCAATATAATAAGTAAACATTCATTTTAATGAATCCTAGAAAAATCCCTTTTCTGGCCAGGCACGGTGGCTCACACCTGTAATTCCAGCAATTTGGGAGAGCGAGGCAGGCAGATCATGAGGTCAAGAAATTGAGACCATCCTGGTCAACATAGTAAAACTCCATCTTTACTAAAATACAAAAATTAGCTGGGCGTCGTGATGCACGCCTGTAGTCCCAGCTACTTGGGAGGCTGAGGCAGAATTGCTTGAACCCAGGAGGCAGAGGTTGCAGTGAGCGGAGATTGGCCACTGCACTCCAGCCTAGCAATAGAGCAAGACTCTGTCTCAAAAGAAAAATCTCTTTTCTGAAAGCAAGGACTTGCGTCTTACAACAGCAATAATTTGGTAGTTATAGTTTTTAAGCACATGTATCTAGGCCTAGAGTACCTAAGATTATAAAGCTAAGGATACCAATATAGTCAAACTTAATAAATAAATAAAAGTTTTAAAGTACTAGATCACATAGAATTATTAACAAATATTCCTGGCCTTACAATGTGTCTACGCAAATGAAACAGAAATGCCTTTGTGAGCAAACACGTGCTTTCAAGCGTTCTACAATCAGATTAATACCTTGCTCATTAAGGACTCTAGGACACCACGTGCATACACACCAAATCTTAATTTAGTCACTGAAATTTAGCCTGCATCAGTTTCCAAGGCTTTCACCAGAGTTGGTCTAACCTTTGAGATACTTCTTATCCCAGTCTAATTCAAGTATTATTAATAGGCTCCCTGGAGCTTGTTATCTTTGACTCAAGCACCTCGTGGTCTCAGCAAAGGCTGCCAAGAAAGAAGGTCTCTAAGTCAAAAGAAACAGAAAGGCACCACAAGCTGCAATGCAAATTATCTACTGTGTCGCTGTAGGAGGAGAAGAAAAATTGTCCCCCAGTATTATCTGGGGGCTTCTTCTAACAAGCCAAGACAATAATCCACAGTTGGTCAAGTGGCCATGGCCAAAAGAGGGAAAAGAAGCAATTATCCAGATAATTTATATCATGCTTGTATAAAAGATGGACATTTTAAATAAATAATTCAGATAATTGTACCACTCACTCTCCATTTCACAGAAGGTGAATCGGTTGTAGAGTAGGTGGTTCAGCTACCAGCAGCTCCAGTCTCACATTTGAAAATAGGTCGGCCAGGCACGGTGGCTCATGCCTGTAATCCCAGCACTTTGGGAGGCCGAGGCAGGCAGATCATTTGAGGCCGGGAGTTTGAGACCAGCCTGGCCAACATGGCAAAACCACATCTCTACTGAAAATATAAAAAATAGCCAGGCATGGTGGTGGACAACTGTAGTCCCAACTACTTGGGAGGCTGAGGCACAAGAAGCACTTAAACTTGGGAAATGGAGGTTGCAGTGAGCCGAGATTATACCACTGTACTCCAGCCTGGGGGACAGAGTAAGACTGACTCACAACCCAAACAAAACAAAACAAAAAAACTTCTCAAAGTCATGGAGAAACATATTGTAACTCTTTGGAAACCGACTTGCAATATTCTGAAACCAATAAAGGCCCATTGTCTTGATTCAAAGATATAGTTTCTCAACAGAAGATCTTAAATCTTTAAGCAGCTTAATTTTTAGCTGAATTTGTCTAGGCTTAAGTATACCTGTTCAATTCAACTCCTTGTCAGTCCTATAAGTGGAAACGAATGCTTATAGTGTGTTTACAGATGCTAAAAGAAAAATCCACAGCTGTCATCACCTTCTCTTATTTCAAGAAATTACTAGCCAGGCATGGTAGCTCACACCTATAATCCCAGCACTTTGGGAGGCCGAGGTGGGCAGATCACCTGAGGTCAGGATCACCTGAGGTCAGGAGTTAGTCAGAGCCTCACTAACAAGGTGAAACCCTGTCTCTATTAAGAATACAAAAATTAGCTGGGTGTGGTAGGGCACACCTGCAATCCCAGCTACTCAGGAGCCTGAGGCAGGAGAATCACTTGAACCTGGGAGACGGAGGTTGCAGTGAGCCGAGATCACGCCACTGCACTTCAGCCTGGGGGACAGAGTAAGACTTCATCTCAAAAATAAATAAATAAATAAAAATATTACTAACTGTGAATAGCATATAATTGAGAGAGGTTGCACTTCACGATCTGGGGTGATAGTAAGAAGGAAAAGAACCAAGGTGGTTAGTCTTGAGAGAAGGTCTCAGAAAAATGGTTATCTGGTATGGAAAGGAGATCTACCACGAGTGACCTCAAAGAAGGTGCTTTTCTCACAGTGATGGTAAAATGTGCATGGTAAGAACCAAACTCAGCTAGCAGCATCACCTTAAAAGAAACAAGGCTACAGAGTTACACTAAGAAAACCATGCTTTGATAGAAGTGATTCAAAAAAGGAACACATGGACTAGAAAGCTGGATTGTATTTCTTTATCCTCCATAAACCCATGAAATGATTTCTTTCAGAATCCAGATCTCGATTGCCTTTATATCCCAAATACATCTGAAAAATAAGAATTCAGCCGGTGCAGTGGCTCACGCCTATAATCTCAGCACTTCGGGAGGCCAAGGCGGACATGATTGTCTGAGGTTGAGAGTTCAAAACCAGCCTAGCTAACACGGTGAAACCCTGTTTCTACTAAAATAACAAAAATTAGCCGGGAGTGGTGGCAGGCGCCTGTAATCCCAGCTACTCAGGAAGCTGAGGCAGGAGAATCGCTTGAACCAGGAAGTCAGAGGTTGCAGTGAGCCAAGATCGCGCCATTGTACTCCAGCCTGGGGAACAGAGTGAGACTCCATCTCCAAAAATAAAAAGAAAATAACCTTCCCAAAGAGTTCAGAAATTGAAGGTTTAAAATTTAACGTGGTTCTCTTAGATTTTATCTTATTTTACATTCAGCTCTTTATTAAGTGGGACATAAAGCTCTCGTGATTTAAATCTGAAAAAGCCATGCTTGTGGGCCACTTCTTTATTTTCTAACTTTGCACAAAGAATTTTCCTGAGCTTCAGTTTCCTCATCTGTAAAATGAGCATAACAACACTACCTGCCACACCTGCTTCAAATGATCACTGCTGAGACTCATAAGAGCATATGAATTCAAACAGCAAAGCACTCTACAAATATTGGTTGCTACCTTAGGTGGTGAAATATTCTGAGCAGAAAAAAAGATGAATACAAAATAGGGTGAAAAAGTTTCTTCTACCTGAGAGAGAAGGGTTGCAAATATAGTGAGAAGTAGCTTTAAGCTACTGGCTAAATATATTTAGGGAAGAGGTCTGACATAAAGTTATTACTTAGAAGTGGATTCTCATGCCAACACATCCACTTTGCACAGACGGCAGAAGAAGAAAAATAAGAAAGATTAAGAGTGGGTGTCCGGCTCTCAGCTCACCAAAATAACTGATGAACTTCCATTCGAGGACAGAGAGTGTCGTTCGGCATGACAGTTAGTAGATAGAGAATACTGTTGCATTAGGTGATAGAAGTAAAGGTGTTACCAAGCACAGATCATCCACAATCCATATAGTAAAGCTATGTATAGGGCATGGGATATCTATAGGGCACTTTAGAAAAAATGAAGAATAGAGAGGCTATTCCATAAGTATCAGACAGAAGTAATTCAATAACTTAGTTCTCCACAGGAAGCTCTCAGGGAGGTAGCACTGCTGAGAAGAAAGTTAAGATACCTCTAACAACGAGGTCGGGGTGTTCTAGGAGCTATAGCTTAGAGGCGACACAAACTGTTTTGAAGTACTACAAATCAACAAAACGAGAGTGTAGTTTGAGATCTGATTGTCTTTATGCAGTATAAGGCTTTACTCTCTAAGTGATCTAAGATAGTCTATAATGGGAACACACAAGAGAACTGAATTTTCTGAAAGGGCAACAGATGACACTGTGCCTATGAATGACACGGTGTGCAAGCACGCCAACCAGACATAAGTGAAGATAATCTATAGGGATAGAGGCACGGACAAAATCATCGGTAACCATGACAACACAAGTAGGTGGAGGGAAATACAAACACTGACCAGGCAGCCGGGTGACACTATTCCTAAAGGTAGAGACCCTGGGGTCGGAAAAAGACTTGATTAGTGGAGGAAGCTGGCCAAGATGAAACCGACTAGCCCAAGAGGGCAGTGTCCGTGCAGGAAGACTCGGCGGCAACACTGATACTCCCCATGAGACGGCTCGCAGGGTCAAAGGCTCATCTGTAGGAGGCTGGACGCCTCTAAGACCGAGACAGGAGTTACCTGGTGCAGGGCTGTCAAGCCGTCGACGTTGACAGTGTTGATATCGGCACCTCTTGCCAGAAGCTTTTTCACCTCGTCGGTGTCCCCGCTAGAGCAGGCGGCCAGGAAGACAGCACCGTCTTCGAAGCGGACCCTGGGGCTCCCGCGCCTGGTCAGCGGCTGCCGCCCAGTGCCTCGTCGCTCCGCAGGCTCCTGCTCTGTCAGTGAGCCCCGCCAGCGCCGAAGCTGCTCTGCCCGCCGCATTCGCGCCGACTCTGCCCGCTTCCCTCCTATATGCTCCAGCTCCGCCATTGCTCCGGCCTCGGCCGCTGCTGCTGAAACTACCAACACTAAATTACTGTTGAGGCTCGGGTTGCCGCTGCCACCTCCCTCAGAGCGCTTCAGCCGGGAGCAGAGGGCGGAGACCCACGCGCCGCCATCTTTACTCCTCCCGCCACTAGCACCGCCCGCACGCTCCCTAGGCTTCAATACGCAGGCACTGCCCGGGCTCGGGTCATCACGGGACTTGTAGTAAGAGGCCTGCCCTAAGGGTAATTGATGGCGGTAAGGGAACTACAAATCCCTGGATGCATCAGAAAAGAGGCGAGGACCGGCGGCTCTCTCTTTAGCAACCGGACCCAGCGGGGTCACCTTTGCCCTAAAGCTGGAACGGTCTCCTGGACTGGCGTCAGCCTCTTCCTTTAAGCATTTTGGGAGTTGTAGTTTATTCTTGTTATGACTAGTAACTAATCTTAGCTCCCTAATTATCTCATCAATCCCTTGGAGTGGAAAAGGGGCGGTAATTATGCCTATTTTCTGGAGGGGAGAACTAAACATTAAGTACCTAAACGACTGGAATCTATGTCCTAGTTCTAATTCTAGAGTGTTATTAACGTGTATTAATCACAGTAAATGTGAATGTGCATGGGGAGGAGGAGCATACATACACAGTATTACATGTTTTACATAAATACTGTCAGCATGGACACTTATTTTAGGCCCAGAAAAGACCTTGAAAATGATGCATTCGGAAGTAGTGAAAAGAGCTTAAGCTTTGAATTTAAATTGAATTCACAGCCGTAGACAAATCACTTGACTTCTCTGAGCCACTTTTCTTACGTGTAAGTGAGAATAATATCTCACAGGGTAGTCGTGTGGATCAAATGAAATAATACATGCAAGGATGCCTAGTACTATCTTTGGCATATATTGGATCCCAATAAATGATTTCTCTTACCTCTCCCTCCTCCTCTTCTACTCTTTTCATATATCTTAAATTCCTACAAGACAAATGTGTTGTCTTCCATGATTTTTATTAAATTTCTTTTCTTCGGAGATAGTCTCAGTCTCACTCAGGCTGAGTGCAATGGCACATCATGGCTCACTGCATACTCAACCTCCTGAGCTCAAGCAATCCTCCCACCTCAGCCTCCCGAGTAGCTAGGACTACAGGTGTCCACCCCCACACCCATTATTTTTTAATTTTTTTTTTTGTAGAGTCAGGGTCTCGCCATGCTGCCCACGCTGGTCTGGAACTCCTGGACACAAGCAATCCTCCTGCCTCAACCTCTCAAAGTGGTGGGATTACAGCCCTAAGCCACTGTACCTGGCCCATGATATTTTTTTTCAAAGCTAGAGAAAGATACTATCAAGCATACTAAATTCCTAAAGTAGCTAATAGGACATTTTTATATTCACCAAGACTGGGTTATAAAACATATATCTGTCTGATTGTTTTGTTTAAGACAGGTTCTTACTCTATTACCCAGGGTGAGGGGCAGTGGCATGCTCATGGATCACTGCAGCCTCAACCTCATAGGCTCAAGCCATCCTCCCACCTCAGCCCCAAGTAACTGGGACTGCAGGCCTGCGCCACTACACCTGGCTAACTTTTGTTTTTTTTTATAGAGACAGTTTCGCCATGTTGCCCAGGATAGTCTTGAGCTCCTGGGCTCAAGAGATCTACCCACCTCAGTCTCCCAAAGTGTTGGGATTATAGGCATGAGCCACTGCATCCAGCCAGTCGGACTGATTTAATAACTATAACCTCCAGTGCACTAGCCCTGAACATAATATAATTAAATGTGTTCCCAAAATGAAAGAGTACCTATACAATTATTATTTAAACTTTTCTATATGTTTAAAATTTTTCATTAAAAAATGTTTCAAAATGATTGGGGTATTGTAAAGGGGAACTTTATATTATATTCTGCCATGTGAAAGTTTGCCTGTTCCTTAATTTCCCCAGTTTCCCCTGAAATGAAGTGTAAATCACACATTAAGGAAACAATTAATTATTAAATTGAAAGCCTTAAATGAAAAGTGACATATAAATGTAAAAATTATTATGTTTAATAATACTGTGTTGGCTGGGTGCGGTAGCTCACGCCTGTAATCCCAGCACTTTGGGAGGCCATGATGGGTGGATCATGATGTCAGGAGATCAAGACCATCCTGGCCAACACAGTGAAAATCCATCTCTACTAAAATATGAAAAAACAAAATTAGCTGGGCATGGCGGCAAACGCTTGTAGTCCCAACTACTCGGGAGGCTGAGGCAGGGAAATCGCTTGAACCTGGGAAGCGGAGGTTGCAGTGAGACGAGATCGTGCCACTGCACTCCAGCCTGGCGACAGAGCAAGACTCCGTATCAATAAAATAATAATAATAATAATACTGTGTCTACTTGCTATATGATTTAGTTGGGTATTCTTAAATACATTATAAATACTAATTAAGCCTCATGTCACATCTGTGTGATATGAATAACAATGTACAAAAAGATAATTAAGGTATAATAATGTATACATTATATAACCTCATTTTCCTTACCACATGCATTTATTTATGGTCACCATAGAACTTGTCATGTCTCATCATTTACTGCTATTAAAAATTTTTGGCCAGACGTGGTGGCTTATGCCTGTAATCCCAGCACTTTAGGAGGCCAAAGTGGGCAGATCACTTGAGGTCAGGAGTTTGAGACCAGCCTGGCCAACATGGTGAAACCCCACCTCTACCAAAAATACAAAAATTAGCTAGGCATAGTGATGGGTGCCTGTAATCTCAACTACGGGGGAGGCTGAAGCAGGACAATTGCTTGAGCCCAGGAGGCGGAGATTGCAATGAGCCAAGATCATGCCACTGCATTTCAGCCTGGGTGACACAGCAAGACTCTGTCTAAAAAAAAAAAAAAAAAAAAAAAAAAATTTAATAATAATAATAATATATTTATATATATAAAATTCATGAGAGTTACTTTGTAACATGTTTCAATGCGACCTCCTCTTATTCCAATTCAGCCTCTTGCTGATAATTAGTACTGCCCACAAGCTCCCAAATAGAACTCTCCCTAAAGAATGAAAGAAAAATTGGTATTAAATCAAATAGGTAAGAATACTCATAGGTCATTTCAATATTATGTTTCTAGTATATGATAGCTGCTCAATTTATATATATATTATATATATTTTATAAATATATATAATATATATTTATAATATATATATTTATTAATACATATTATATATATTTATAAACATATATAAATATAAATATATATATAAATATATAATATATAAAATTATATATTATATATTTTATAAAAAATACATATTATATATATTATATAACATATATATTATATATTATATATATTTTATTAAAAATACATATATATATTATAAAATATATATAATATATAATATATATTATATATATTATTATATATTATATATATTTTATAATATATATTTTATATATATATATAATCCTTATTAGAGGACCAGTATGCCAGTAAAACATAGTTATATATAATATAGTTTTACTGGCATACTGATATTCTAATAAGGATTTTTAAACTGGAGTAAATTTTTCAAGGATCAATAATTTTTTTTTTTGGCTGCATTCTTTTCATATTCAGAATTAGGGAGCAAAAAATACCTAGTTCCAATTCTTTAAATAAGCTAAAATTGACCCACTCCAAGTTAAATCCTTACTTTCCCAAGAGATATGAGCTTAAATTTCATTCTTTCTTTTTTGGAGACAGAGTCATCCAGGCTAGAGCACAATAGTGCCAACATAACTCACTGCAGGCTCAAACTCTTAGGCTCAAGCAATCCTCCTCCCTCTACCTCCTGAGTAGCTGGGACTATAGGCACATGCCACCATGCAGGCTAAAATTATTTTATTTTTATTACTATTTTTTTTAAGTAGATACGGGTCTTGCTATTTTGCCCAGGCTGGTCTTGAACTCCTGGCCTCAAGCAGTCCTCTTGCCTCAGCCTCCAAAGTACTGAGATTTTAGGTGTGAGCCACCATGCCCAGCATGAGCTTAAATTTCAGCAAGAATTTAGTCTGGAAATAAAGAATTTCTGGGAAGCCAGAAGTACTTTCTTACTATACCTATTTTATTTGCTTCTTTCCTTTTTTTTCCTGTGGGAATAAGAGTGTAATACCTTCTTTGGAGATTTCACAGAAAAGTGTAAATAGCTAAATTCTTTGGATAGTTTAAGTGCATACCTACTTGGAGAGAGAGAAATACACCTTCTGGCTATATGATTATTGCAAGTAGTAATAATTTTTTTTTTTTAAGACTGAGTTTCGCTTGTTACCCAGGCTGGAGTGCAATGGCATGATCTTGGCTCAGCACAACCTCCACCTCCTGGGTTCAAGCAATTCTCCTGCCTCAACCTCCTGAGTAGCTGGGACGACAGGTGCGCGCCACCATGCCCAGCTAATTTTTGTATTTTTAGTAGAGATGGGGCTTCACCATGTTGACCAGGATGGTCTCGATCTCTTAACCTCATGGTCCACCCACCTCGGCCTCCCAAAGTGCTGGGATTACAGGCGTGAGCCACCGTGCCGGGCCCGAAAGTAGTAATAATTATTATAATCTAATTAATTTTACAGGCTCAGCCAAAACAAATGCCATGAAGACATTCATCTACCTATAATGACTTGAAATGTTTTTTCAAATCAAAATCATATTTTTTCTAAAACATCCTTCCCAACTGGGGCTTTCTGAGAATAACTTACATAATCAGCTCATGAAACAAGTATGGTAATTTAAATTTCCTAAATAAATACTCTATTCTTTCATTATAGTGGGTCAATTTTAGCTTATTATTCTTTTATTATTTATATTTGAGACAGGGTCTCACTCTGGATTTGCAGTGGCACAATCACAGCTCACTGCAACCTCGACCTCCTGGGCTCAAGCTATCATCTCACCTCAGCTTCCCAAGTACCTGAGACTATAGGCATGCACCACCATGCCTGAGCAATTTTTGTATTTTTTGGTAGAGATGGGTTTTTGCCATGTTATTCAAGCTGGTCTCAAACTTGTGGACTCAAGCAATCTGCCCCCTGAGGCCTCCCCAAATGCTGGGATTACAGGCATGACCCAGTGCACCTGGCTATAAGCATACTATTTTTTTTTTTTTGAGTCTCACTCTGTCACCTGGGCTGGAGTGCAGTGATGCGATCTCACCTCACTGCAACCTCTGCTGCCCAGGTTCAAGCAATTCTCCTGCCTCAGCCTCCTGAGTAGCTGAGATTACAGGCACCTGTCACCATGCCCAGCTAATTTTTGTATTTTTAGTAGAGATGGGGTTTCACCATCTTGGTCAGGCTGGTCTTGAATTCCTGACCTCATGATCCACCTGCCTTAGCCTCCCAAAATGCTGGGATTACAGGCATGAGCTACTGCACCCGACTAAGTATGCTATTCTAAAGAAAATATAAGCCTGGCCAACATGGTGAAATCCCGTCTCTACTATATATGCAAAAATTAGCCGAGCACGGTGTAAGGTGCATGTAGTCCCAGCTACCAGGGAGGCTGAGACAGGAGAAGCACTTGAACCTGGGAGGTGGTGGTTGCAGTGAGCCGAGGTCGCATCACTACACTCCAGCCTGGGGGACAGAGTGAGAGCCTGTCTCAAAAAAATAAAAAATAAAAAAATAAAAATAAAGGAAATATTTTTTCATATACTAGTAAGTAAATCCTGACAAATAATACTGTGAACAAATAAAATACAATTTTTATACTTTTATAAGTACTAAGTAAGCCTGCAATGATGTGTTGTTAAAGTGAAGAAACCTTTATAAAATAATAATTTTCATATCTCCTCTACACTTAAAGCAATTATAACATTACAATGCTCCATTTTAAAAAGCAATGACACCTGTAAAAAGTTTATGAAACTCTTTTAGCCTGGCCTGTATTCCAACCAGTTAACATACCCCCCTCTGGTGGACAAATGGAAATTGTACACTAAGTGTATGGGGTTCTTGGTTTTTTTCTCTCCCTTCCTTTTCTTCTTCCCTCTCTGCCTCCTTTTCTTCCTTCTACCCTTTTTCTTTCCTCTTGTTGCCAAAATTATAGGGACTTACTTGTTTTATCAAAGCATCTCTCTTTTCCACCAGACTCAATACAGTTCTTGCTTTTCCTAAGAGACATTGTTAACACCTAGTTCTCAAAGAACCACCAAAGGAATTAATCAATTTCAGTTCTGAAGACAGAACTGTAATTGAGATACAATTACAGCAGGGGCCAGAAGAAAATAAAGACAGGTTTGGAAAGGACTAAAACAGAACACATCGGTAGTAAAATAAGGAGCAACTCAATTGTGACAGAAAACACTTCATTAAATGCTGAGTAAATGCTAACAATAAATGCAAAACCCCAACAGCAAACTGGAAATTAGACTGGACAAGAACGGGATTCCTTGTTTGTTTTACAACTTCATAATAATTAATAAACTACTTTAGTTGGCTTATTCCTACAACTAAGGTGAGCAACCCCAGGGAAGCATCACAGAGTCCTAGTGAACATGTGGGTCTCGAGGGAAAGCACACCACACAATGGTCATAGGGAGCCAGTTGCCACTTAACACCAATTTTGACTACATGTAGACATCACTAAGTGGCCAAAATTATACTGGTTTACAAGTTTAGAAAGAGACTGATTACTCCATTACCAATAATAGTAATAAATAGTATAATAGTAGTAACAGTAATAAGTTACTATTATTGCCCCCTTTGTTCCAAAGCTACACAATAAGCTGAGAGCAGTCAGATGAGGGTTGGCTTTTTGCTTGTTTTTCCACCCACAGCATTCCCAAAGGCTAGTCAAGTTCCAGCTAGTCCTTTAGATTGTCAGGTCTGCGCCATCCTTTAGCGCTCATTGGCCTCTGGCAGAGGCAGCTCTGAGAAGTTAAGGTTGGCTTAACTATAAAAAGGTTCTTCCTTGTTCAGAAAGTATACCATGCATTTAGAGTTGGAAGACGGTTTAAAAGCCATCTATCTATTCAAACTGCTACCCAGTGCAAGGATCCTTTCTGCACTATCCCTAACAAGTGATGATCTAACTGCCACTTGAACATTTCCAGTGATGAAGGAATTCACTACCCCTTACGTTTACCTATTGGTTCCTCAGAGTTCTAATTGATAGAATGCTTTATTGAGCTAAGTTCTGCGTCTCTTATTCTTTCATCCGTTGTCCTTAAATGTGTCCTCTGAAGTAGTAAAATCTCCCATATGAAAAATATTTAAAATAAAGGAAGACAGCTACCACGTATTCTCTTCTCCAGATTAAATATTTCTGGTTCCTTTCATTGTTTTTCCTAAGACACGATTTCCAGCTCCTTCCTTGGTCTGACAGAGCCGACTTTGTAACCGAACTTGGACCGCCTGATGACGTCTCAGGGTTGAACCTCAGGGTGTAGGAAGCTGAGTGGCGTCGCCCGGCCCGCGTTCTCGTTTGAATGCGTGGGTATTCAGGGGGCTGGCCAATAGAGAGAAGCGCTGGCTGCGCTTCTTTCCCGGGGGATTACTGTGGGCCAATCACAATCCTCTCAGGCAAGGGGCGGAGCCACGCAAACCGTCCGAGTGGCGCAGGCGCTGGTAGCCAGTTGGTCTGCTCGTTGCTGCTTTGTGAGCGGTGTCCGCTAAGGTAAGCAAGTAGAGTGTTCCGCCTCCCCATCTGTAAGAACGTACCCCGGAGGAGGTCACTGAGTCTTGGGGGGAAGGAGTCCTGTTTCCGCCTCCTCTGAAAGCAGAGCCTCACAAAAGCCACTGTTGAGCGGAGGGTCTCCCCGTATCTTTGCAGGAAATCTTGGTTAGATTTCCCCTGAGCCTTCCCCCTGCCGCCGGAAGGGACATAACAGCCCACTACTCGCCGCGGGATGTGCACTGGCTGTTTTGCCTTCTTCAACATCTGGTCCAAACTCTCGTTTCGGTCATTAATTATCCAAATGTGCTACAGACTTGATACAAAAAAGGACTAGGGACTTGCCCTCAAGGAATTCACCCTAAGGGGAAGAAACTGTCAGGGGAATCAGAACACGATGCAAATTGATGTGGACGCGGAGAGGGTGACACTGGAAAGGTGTGGGGTGGGGATGCATTACTAGGGAAGGAGTTGTTATTTAATATGTACCTATCTATAGGTGTGAAAGAGTAAGACTTTTATGGGCAGCAGGAATAGGGCAGTATGGCTGAAGCATGAGTTTGTGGAGAGTAGATTCTAGATATAAGGCGGGATGTAAGGGTTAGATTGTAAAGAACCTTTATACCCAGAAAAATAGGCAGTTATTCGTTTGGCATTTGAGCCAAAGAATGGCATATGCCAATTTTGGTTAATATAGTGAGACTGGAGTCTGGTTGCTCCCTTGGGAGAAATTGTCTTGTTTGTTCTAATCCCTTTACCATGGCTTTGCACTGTTCTCATTTTATGTAAAGGTACGCTTTATACTTTATACTGGGTATCCGTAATGGATGGTTCCAGGACATCCTGCGGATACCATATCCATCAAAGGTCAAGTCCCAGTTATAAAATGGTGTAGTTTTTGCATATAACCTATGAATGTCCTCCTATATACTTTATATTTAAACTATGCACGTCCTCCCCATATAGTTTATATTTAAGAGATTTAAGAGCCTTTGTTGCTCAGGCTGGTCTTCATTTATTTATTTATTTATTTATTTATTTTGAGGCAGAGTCTTGCTCTGCCACCCAGGCTGGAGTGCACTGGCATGATCTTGGCTCACTGCAACCTCTGCCTCCCGGGTTGAAGCAGTTCTCCTGCCTCAGCTTCCTGAGTAGCTGGGATTACAGGCGTGCACCACCATGCCTGGCTAATTTTTGTATTTTTAGTAGAGACAGGGTTTCCCCATGTTGGCCAGGCTGGTCTTGAACTCCTGACCTCAAGTGATCCACCCACCTCAGCCTCTCAAAGTGCTGGGATTACAGGCATGAGCCAACTTGCTGGCCAGTTTTGTTTTCTTTTGTTTTTGAGACAATCTTGCTCTGTCGTCCAGGCTGGAGTTCAGTGGCATGATCTCAGCTCACTGCAACCACCTCCTGGGTTCAAGCCTTTCTCCTGCCTCAACCTCTTGATTAGCTGGGATTACAGACCTCTGCTACAGCACCAAAAAAAAAAAAAAAAAAAACAACAACCCTAAACTTATAAACGACAAGGATCTCACAAAAAACTATAGCCTGGGCGACAGTGTGAGACTCCGTCTAGATGTTGGCTCACTGCAACCTCCTCCTCCTGGTTCAAGCAATCTTATCTTATTGAATTTCTACCCTTTTCCCAATTTGATTTAGATGATCTGTGAGTCTCAAAGAAGTAGAGAGACAGGTGATTGTTTGTGGGATAAAATTTAGGTCCACATTAACCACAATTTTGGAAGGTGTAAATAGGATAATTGTTGTATTTTTAGTAGTGAGGGGATTTCCCCATGTCTGCCAGGCTGGTCTTGAACTCCTGACCTCAAGTGATCCATCCACCTCAGCCTCCCAAAGTGCTGAAATTACAGGCAAGAGCCACTGCACCAGGCCTCACAGGCTGTTCTTGAACCCCTGCATGTCTTCCCATATACTTTATTTATTTTAGAGATGGGGGTCTCCTTTGTTGCACAGGCTGGTCTTGAACCCTGGCCTTAAGTGATCCTTCTGCCTTGGTCTCCCAAAGTGCTGCAGTTACAGGTGTGAGCCACCATGCCGAGCCCTGCCCCATATACTTTGGATCATTTCTTAATTACTTATAATACCTAATAAAATGCTCAGTAAATAATTGTTACACTGTATTGTTTAGGGAATAATGACAAGAAAAAATGTACAGTACCTGTTCGGATGAAATTTTTTAAATTTTTTTTTTCTTTGAGACAGTCTTACTCTATTACCCAGGCTGGAATGCAGTGGCACAATCTCAAAGTACAAAACACTTCTAGCAAAAAATCTTTATTTTTAAGCAAAAAGTTTTTTTTTCTCATTTTCTATTTTTGTCATAAATTTTTATTCTTTCCAGTGGAACCAAAACTTGAACTTCCTTTTGGTTGATACATGCCCAGCAAGACTGATCAAAGAAAAGATGGCACAGATAAATAGTGTTAGAAATGAAAATGGAAACAAAACCATAGATAGCTACAGAGATTAAAAAGATAAAACATTATACAAATAAATTTAAAGTTGCATGAAATAGATAAATTTGTGGGAAAATTTAACTTGCCAAAATTGATGCAAGAAGAAATAAAGAACTTGAATAACATTTAAATAAATTGGATTTGTAGTTTAAAATTTCCTTAAAATGAAAACACCAAGATAGAGTTCTTCCAGGCAACCTAGTAACAAATTATCTCTTGGACTAATCCACAGTGTGTCAAAAAAAGGAGGCAGCATTCCCTAACTCATTGTAGGAGGCTAGCATAACCTTAATACCTAATAAAGACAAAATTAGAAAGGACAGTTATAGGCCAATCTTATTGATTAGCATAGTGTTGAAAGCTTTCCCTTTAAGGTTAGAAATCTGACAATACCAACTATCAGTTTTTCTTTGTTTCTTTCTATTTGTTGTTGTTGTTGTTGTTGAGACAGGGTCTCATTCTGCCACCCAGGCTGGAGTACAGCACAGTGGCACAATCATGGCTCACCGCAGCCTCCATCTCCCCGGGCTCAGGTCATCCTCCCACCTCAGCCTCCTGAGCAGAGGTTCATGCCACCATACTTGGCCCAGCTATCAGCCTTTCAGGCTGATGCCACCATACCTGGCCCAGCTATCAGCTTTTCTATTCAACATTGTACTGGAAGTTACTGCCATAAGAGAAGGCAGGAAAAGGACTAGAAGGGAAGAGATAAACTGATTATATGAGGATTATATGATTGGCAGTGTAGAATTATCATTCCCGGACAGCTCCCCACCCCACATAGATTCATCATTAGCATTATTAAGGCTTTGGTTAAAAATCAATTTGATTTCTATGTCCCTGTAAGAAATGGGTGGATAATAGTGCTTTTGAAAATATAGCAAAAATATAAAGTACTTAGAAATCAATCAAACAAAAATTAGGTAAAGCTTTGTAGAGAAAATTACAAAATCTTTGGAAAGCATCAAAAAAGACTGAAACAGCATGTTCATAGATCTTAGAATTCAATATCATAAAGCTATCAATTCACTCCAATTTGGTCTATAGTATCAATAAAATTATAATCCAAATCACAGAACCCTGTTATGATTTGGATTATAATTTCATATATACATATTTATGTATGTATTTATGGACTTATGAACTGATTCTCAAATCTATATGGAAGAGCAAAGAGCCAAGAATAATCAAGTCATTCCTGAAGAAAAAGACCAGGTGGATAAGCTATAGTAAAACATCACATTGTACACGTTAAATATATACAATTTGTCTCAGGGAGGATCCATACTCAGAAAAAAAAAAAACATATATATATATATACATATATATATACACACACACACACACAGAATTTGTATTTGCCAGTTATACCTCAGTAAAGCTGAGAAACAATTTAAATAAATAATAAAAAATGAATAAGCCATGGTAATTGAAATAGTGGAGTATTGTCTCAGAAATAATCCAGTTGATCAATGGAACAAATTCAAGAGTTCCAAAACAAATCCACATATACTTAAATTTAATTTATAGTAATATCAGCAGGGACTTATTCAGTAAATGGCGTTAGAATGATTGGCTGTTCATATGGGGGAAAACTTTAAATTGGACCCCTACCTCACTCACTGTATATAAAATTCAATTCCTAGTGGATTAAAGGTTTAAATTTGAAAAGCAAAATTATAAAATATTTGAAGACTATGTAAAAATATCTCTACATTTGAAGATAAGGAAAAATTTCATACACAAAGTATAAATGTAAAGAAAAAAAAATTTTTTTTTTTTTTTGGAGACAGAATTTTACTCTTGTTGCCCAGGCTGGAGTGCAATGGCATGATCTTGGCTTACCGCAACCTCCACCTCCTAGGTTCTAGCTATTCTTCTGCCTCAGCCTCTCAAGTAGCTGGGATTACGGGTGTGCACTACCACACCGGCTAATTTTGTATTTTTAGTAGAGACGGGGTTTCTTCCATGTTGGTCAGGCTGGTCTCGAACTCCCGATCTCAGGTGATCCGCCCACCTCAGCCTCCCAAAGTGCTGGGATTACAGGTGTGAGCGGCTGCACCCGGCCAGGAAAAGATTTTAAGATTGATCACATTAAGAGTACGTGTTCATTGAAAGACACCATGGACAACATGGAAAGATAAGCGCAAACTGGGGATATTTGTAACACATATTGAAGAATTGGTGTCCTTTGCTTGGTTAGTAGAGGGAGAACTAGAGCTGAAAAGAGTGTTGGGTGAATATGTATGTGGGCGTTGGTTTTAGGTGAGAGAGATTTTGAGCATATTTGCATATTGAGGGTGAGAAAGATGGAATAATTGATGGACTGGTATCCCTAAAGATTGGGAGGATGTAGAATCCATAATGGAGAGAACCTCAGACATTTAACATTTGCTTGTATCTCAGAATGTGACTCTCTACCACTCTTGCTCTCACAAAGCATATGTAGACTTCCTCACAACAGCTAATATTTGTCAAGTCCCTTACCGGGAGGCATGCTAAGGCTACAGCAGTAAGCAAAATCAGACCCAGGCATGGCCACATGAGTTTACAATTTATCAGTGGAAACACCCACTATTTAAAACCTTTAGTGTTTTTATTTTTTGTAGAACGTTTTACAATTTTAATTCTTTATATAAAAAATATATTTGCTTGAGTAGATAAACATTCACAAGAAGGGAATAGAAAAAACTCAGATTCCCTTGTCAGAATAGAGATAATAAGAAGAATGTTGGCTGGGCGTGGTGGCACATGCCTGTACTTCCAGCTACATGGGAGGCTGAGATGGGAGGATTGCTTGAGCCCAGCAGGTGAGCTGAGATTGTACCACTGCACTCCAGCCTGGGTGACAGAGCAAGACCCTATGCCGGGTGCATTGGCTTACGCCTCTAATCCCAGCACTTCAGGAGGCCAAGGCAGGCAGATGACTCACCTGAAGTCAGGTGTCTGAGACTAGCCTGGCCAACATGGCAAAACCTTGTCTCTACTAAAAATAAAAAAATTAACTGGGCGTGCTGGTGTACACCTGTAATTCTGGCTACTCTGGAGGCTGAGGCATGAGAATTTCTCAAACTCTGAAGGTGGAGGTTGCAGTGAGCTGAGATGGCGCCACTGCCCTTCAGCCTGGGTGACAGAGTGAAACTGTTTGTTTAAAAAAAAAAAGAGGGATCTGTCCCCCACCGTCACTACTTTGAAGCTGTTTGCTGAAAACTTCATAGTCATTATTGCTGATGATTTCATGGTTGCCTCTGTTCTCCTCCAGTGCATCCCAGCTAGCTCTTAGTGTGGAGCAGTGACCTGTGTGTGGTTCCTTCTACTTGGGGATTATGCAGAGAGCTTCCCGTCTGAAGAGAGAGCTGCACATGCTGGCCACAGAACCACCCCCAGGCATCACATGTTGGCAAGATAAAGACCAAATGGATGATCTGCGAGCTCGTAGGTATCAAATTATGTATATGATGAAAGTCATGACCCTGTTGAAGATTGTGCTGAAATCAAATATTTTGTATATTCTAAAGTAAGGAGCAGTTATAAGGTTAGAGTGCCCTACCATCTTTCTACCCAAATGTGTTCACATTTATAAAAGGTTTGCTTCACATTTCTTGCTTCTTTGACTTTTTATTATACCTTTGGCTGATTTATAGCCAAGATTTAAAGCAGTGAAGCAGTGTTTAGATCAAAGATAACCATCTCAAATATCTGTGAGGCCAGATGGGAAACATACATGATTAGAATATTGCAGTCCAAACAAAACAAATCTGTAGGTTGTATTTGGTCTTGTGGCGAGCATTTTGCAGCTTCTGCTTTAGATTTTGTATATGTCCTTTGTTTGACACCATTAACTTTTTGAGTATATTAGCATTGTGGCATGTTGCATGAGGACTTGTTAAAGTCTTGAATTATTGTCCTAGGCCTAGTTTCTCTGTTAGGACCATAGACCTCATTAGCTCCATATGGTGGTAATTTGAATGATCCGATTGCCTGTTAACTTTTTCTTCCTTTCTTTTTTCTTTTAAGAAATATTAGGTGGAGCCAACACACCTTATGAGAAAGGTGTTTTTAAACTAGAAGTTACCATTCCTGAGAGGTTTGTATGAATCAGCTTGTCAACCTAGATGGTAAAGTACATTTATTGGAAAACAGAGCAATGTAGTAGATGGAGCATTAAACGTAGGGGTTAAAGGACTAGGTTTTAATCCTGGCCTTATCATGACTTAATGTGACCTTGACCAAGTTATTTTATCTCTCTGGAGTTCAGCTTCTTTCTCGAGAATAATGGGCCAGATCCCATCAAAGGCCCCCTCACTTTTTAAATTGTGGTAAAATATACATAACATACAGTTGACCATTCTTAAGTGTATAGTTCAGTGGTATTAAATACATTCACATTGTTGTGCAACCATCACCAACATCTATCTCCAGAACTTTTCATCCTCCTAAACTGAAACTTCATAGCCATTAAACTATAACTCCCCATTTTTCCCTGCTCTCAGCCCCTGGCAACCACTATTGTGCTTTCTTAATATTAAAGTTGCCCACCCCCCGGCTTTTTTTTAACATTTAGGTTCAGGGCTACATGTGTAAATTTTTGTTTTGTTTTGTTTTTTACACTCCCCACCCCCTGCTGAAAGTTTTTTATATAGGTAAACTCGTCATTGGGATTTGTTGTACAGATTATATCGTCACCCAGGTACTAAACCTAGTATCCAATAGTTTTGCTCTTCTCCCTCCTCCCACCCTCCACTCTCAGGTAGGCCCCAGTGTCTGTTGTTCCCCTCTTTGCGTCCATGTGTTCTCATCATTTAGCTCCCACTTATAAATGAAAGCATGTGGTATTTGGCTTTCTGATCCTGCAAAGGCCATGATCTCATTCTTTTTTATTGTTAAGGCCTCTTTTAATTCAAGTCTCCTTTAAGGCTCTTATCAGGTAAGTTATAGTTATAGATTTGTACAGAATAGGGAAGAGAAGAAATGAATATCTAACAGTTGAAGCATAGACACGTAATCACTAGGTCAGATCATGGCCATACTTGTTCAGGTCTTGAGAGAATAGCTTCATAATCATGTGGTGCATCAGTTTTTAAAATAGACTGGAAACTTTGCAAGGTCTGTGTCTCACTAAAGATACATAATAACTAAGTGAAATATGTAAACTTTAATTGAGTCCTATTTTGAAAAACCCAGCTATAAAATTTTTTTTTTTTTAAATTGGGGAGAACAATTAAAATCTGAAGAATAAGTGATATTAGGGAATTAGTTCTTAAATTTTTCATAGGTGTAGTAGTATTGTAGTTATATAGGAGAATGTTCTCATTCTTAGAAGATATGCTCAAGAATTTAGACGGTGAAGTGGCTTGAATCCAGGTGGTAGATATATGGATGTTTTCAGTACTGTTATTTCAAGATGATTGATTGTAAATTTTCATAATGAAAGTTTAGGAGGAGAGAAAGTTTGTCTCCCAAAGCCTGTCTCCCTGACATTTCTGTAATACCAACATTTTGTGACCAAGAAACTATTTTAAATGTATTTAGAAGCAAAATTATATAATGAAAATTATCTCTTGTCTATTCTTTCATAGGTACCCATTTGAACCTCCTCAGATCCGATTTCTCACTCCAATTTATCATCCAAACATTGATTCTGCTGGAAGGATTTGTCTAGATGTTCTCAAATTGCCACCAAAAGTGAGTTGTGGGCAAACGGTTGACTCTACAGCATTGTTTTCTTCATCTATTAGAGTATCATGTTCTATTATAAAAGCAACTATTTATCTGTTTGTGTGTAGGGTGCTTGGAGACCATCCCTCAACATCGCAACTGTATTGACCTCTATTCAACTGCTCATGTCAGAACCCAACCCTGATGACCCACTCATGGCTGACATAGTAAATATCCCCATTTCCCTCTGCAATACATAGCCTACCTTGTCTCTACCACTAACTCCCCTGTGTGAGGATAGCTGCAGCAGCTCTGACTACTGCAAATCATTTTTTTCTCCATTAACTCTTTTCTTTAATTTTATCTCAGTCCTCAGAATTTAAATATAATAAGCCAGTCTTCCTCAAGAATGCCAGGCAGTGGACAGAGAAGCATGCAAGACAGAAACAAAAGGTATGATGTTTGCTACTATTGTCAGTTAGTTAAGTATATATAGTATATTTATGTATAAAGAATGTTTCTTAGATTTGCCAAATTTGTACTAAACTCTAGAATGACTAGTTGATCTTTTTCTTCTATTGCAACCTTCTAAATAATCATTCAGCAAAATAGCCTAATAGCTCAACCAACCGTAGATATTTCAGAACAGTTATCATATGTTGACAACACTAGAGGGCAGGCAGCATCTGGTTAATTTCTTTTATACTGTGGGTAGCAGGGATAGCGGGGTGGTGTCTCAGATTCCTTTTTTCTAAATTGTCCTTTTAACACTGGGAAGAATCTATATTTGCAGGGACTAGTTGCAGAAATAGGGGGAAACTTGTTTTTCTTATGGGACCATTCATGGAAGAAGTTTGAAGGAAAAACCTCAGGTCAATAGAATTTCCTCATTTAGCAAAATACAAATTACTGGAATATGGAAATTAGCACATCATAGTTCTTGCTGAGTTACACCATCCTTCAGATTGAGTTAAATAGCAGTTGTGTTACTTGTAAAAAGAAATAAAAATTAAAACATACAAAACAATTGAGGAAGATGTTTTTGAGAGAATATCATATGCACAATGCAGTATATAAATCTTGCAACAAAGAAGTACATGGAAATAATATTACAGAGCTTTGTTTTTCTCCATCCTGGCATTTGTGTGAACCTTACTGTATTTCACCCTATCTCTTCCTTTTTAGGCTGATGAGGAGGAGATGCTTAATAATCTACCAGACGCTCATGACTCCAGAGTACACAACTCAACACAGAAAAGAAAGACCAGTCAGCTAGTAGGCATAGAAAAGAAATTTCATACTGATGTTTAGGGGATTTGTCCTGGTCCATCTTAGTTAATATGTTCTTTGCCAAGGTGATCTAAGTTACCTACCTTGAATTTTTTTAAAAATATATTTGTTGACATAATTTTTGTGTAGTTTATTTATCTTGTACATATGTATTTTGAAATCTTTTAAGCCTGGAAAATAAATAGTCATTTAATGTTGAATATGTGTTTATCCTGAATGTGTGCCTGGGAGTAAACTGGCCAGAGAGCTATATAATTGGAATGTTAAAATATTTGGAATTGTTGTCCTTTAGTTTGCTGGCTTACCAGCATCACTAGGGACACTGAATGTTTGACACAGATGTAAAATAGCTGTAGAAACAATTCAATTACCCTTACACTTTCGGGGATTATAGCTTTTCTGAGATCTTAAAATAATGTGGGAAGAAGATAATATTTTTGTAAATTTTTTTTTTGAAGCTTTTACTTTTTGTGATTTACATAGCTGACCAGAATTGCTGTGATAAAACTTTCATTTGTTCAACAAATACTCATTGAACACCTACTGTTTGCCAAGTAGTATGCTAGTGTTTGAGAATGAAATGGTGAGAAAATCAGATGTGAGATTAACCAAATACTCATTCAAATTTAAGTAGGGATTTCCTCTCTCCAGCATCATTTTATGGCAAGACTCCATTCTGGACAATTTGGTACCAAACTTGAATTCCCTACTTATGATTTTACAATACACTTGACTTATCTTTATAATTCTATTTAAGTAACAGAGATAACAGATTTGAGCAGAAATCAGCTGAAGTAGGAAGAGGTCACCCAGGCCAAGTGAAGGCTTTTTGTGGAATGTATTATAGATATTGGACCTTCCTAGGCAGGTGAATAAAGACTGTAATGCCCTTGTCCATATCCCATTGTAGCAGTGATGGTTTTTACCTAGGCTAGGCACCATGCATGTAACATGCATCTCTGAATAGGCAACTTGCATTCATCTGCCTATGAATTACCTTGTACTCTTTACTGAGCAGCAGCCTGCCATACTGCTCATGTGGTGTTTGGACTTGGTCAGAGAACAAGAAGTATGAATTTATATAATCCATTAATGACAGGTCATGGCAAAAGCTAAAAATACAGATTTCTAACCTCTACAGAATTTTTGAACCTAATTTTCAAAATCAGTTACTGGTCTCTTTTTAAAGCCCAGGAATTAATTTTATTCCAAGCTTGTCTTCTATGCTTATGCATACTTAAAGTCAGGTTTGGATTTCCAAACGCCACATGAGCAGTATGGCAGGCTGCTGCTCAGTAAAGAGTACAAGGTAATTCATAGGCAGATGAATGAAAGTTGCCTCTTCAGAGATGCATTTTACATGCATGGTGCCTAGCCTAGGTAAAAACCATCATTGCTACACTGGGATATGGAGGGGCATTATAGTCTGTATTCATCTGCCTAGGCAGGTCCAATATCTATAATATATTCCACAATTAGTATATCATTTAGGATGCTTACAGTTGTAAGTGAAATTTAACTCAGACTGGCAATAATGAAGGAAGTTCATTGCCTTACTAAATAGAAAGTCCAGGGGTAGAGGGAACATCTGGATTGGTGGATTCAAAGGTTCAACAATACCAATATCTTGGTCTCTTTCCTTCTGTCATCCATAGTATCAGCTTTCTCTTAGGCTGTTTGTTCCTGAAGTTTCTTCCCCTCCTAGGGTGACTACCAGCAGCAGTTGGGGCACTTTATTCAGCAGGCCAGGAGGCTCTACTTTCCATGAAGGAAAAGTCCCTGTAGACCACCTTGAAAGCAATCACTGTGGCCAGGGAAATGCCATGTGCTGATTACTCTGGGTTAATAAACGCAGATATGAAGTGAGAGATGGACTTAGGGAGTAGTTGCAGGAAAAGAGTACCTCCTATAGGACAAAACCCCTTACACTTCTATCACCATGTCTGGTCAGCTCTACCAGCTACTTCTCCCTACCCCTACTTATAACACTAGTTCAGCTGCCATCATCTCTCACTTGCAAGTTAGTCATAGCCTTCTTTTTTTTTTTTTTTGAGACGGAGTTTTGCTCTTGTCACCCAGGCTGGAGTGCAATGGCGCGATCTCGGCTCACTGCAACCTCCATCTCCTGTTTTCAGGCAATTCTGCCTCAGCCTCCTGAGTAGCTGGGATTACAGGCACGTGCCACCATGTCCAGCTAATTTTTTGTATTTTTAGTAGAGACGGGGTTTCACCATGTTGACCAGGATGGTCTCGATCTCTTGACCTCGTGATCCACCCGCCTCGGCCTCCCAAAGTGCTGGGATTACAGGCTTGAGCCACCGCGCCCGGCCCAGTCATAGCCTTCTAACTTGTTTCCTTGCCCCCATTCTTGACCTTTGACCCACCATGCTCTTCACAGCAGCGAGAATAACCTTTTGACAATGTAAGTTGGATTTGGTTTCATTCCTCCAAGTGGCTTCATCTTGCAATTAAAAGCCTAGTCTCCTTCCCTGACCCATAAGACCCTGCATGATCTGGCACCTGCTTGCTTTATCTATCCATCCTCATTGCATACCCTCAACCCCTTATGCCTTATACAGACCTGCGTTCAATCTCTTGAACACACCTAGCTCATTCCTACTTCAGGGATTTCACATATGCTATTTCCTCTGCCTCCTACATTCCCCAGGATAGTCCCAGCTTGAATGTAGCTGCCTCAGAAAGTCCTTGTCTATCCCATCTAAAGGAGCCCTAGAGCCTCAGATACTCTCTGGTCCATAGCCTATTGCCCTAATTAATTTTCTTTATAGCATTTGTCCCTACCTGGAAATGTGTTCAGTTTTAAATGTATATATCGTCTCACTGTAAGTGCTGGGGATATAGTGGCTACAAGGAACTTTTCTCTCTAATCACAAGAAACACCAGAGCCAAAAGCTATTAGAAGTCATCCAACCATGTCTTTGCCTGAGGTACAGAGGACTGGGCTAGAGAATAGAAGTGACATGCCCGAGGATTTAAAAGCCCAGCTCCCTACTCCTAGCTCAGGGGAGGATGGGAAAGGGCTAAAAGCATGGACTTAGGTCAAGAAGACCCGGTTTCAGCTCTGGTAGAGCTGCTTAAAAGTTGTGTGACCTTAGCTTTCTATTCAGTCTTTCTATTTTTTTCAGGTTTTGCCTCTGTAAAAGGGATGATGATGATGCTTGAGACTCATGAGGTTGTTGTGAAGATTCAATGAGATGATGCATGTAAAGCATTCAGTACAGGGCCTGGCACAGTGCTGACATTTACCAAGTGCTTAGCAGGGAACTGGGGGATGGAGACAGCCATCCAACCATAGGTGGGTCTTAAGGAGCTGCCCTGCCCACCGCCTACTTGCCAATCTGCTCTGTTCCTAGGATAAGCAAGCTGAGCTGTTTCTCAACCCCAAACCCCTAATTAAAGAGAGATGACATCCATGACTGATCATATAAACATTGCAGATTCCAAGTTCCCCTCTCCTGCTACTCCCAATCCCCCTCTCCACCTCTCCCCAAAAACTAAATAAGAACAGATTTTACCACCCACCTTGTGGGCAGACTCAGCTGAGGCTGGAACTTGGTATTTATCCTTTGGCTGCTGCGGGAATTCAACACATACAAATAAAGCTCCTTTTCCAGCCAAGTGTGTATTTTTCCATCAGCATGTGGCCCCCCTGCCCAGGTTGTCTTGTTTAGGTTAGGACAGCCCGAGGGAGGGAAGGACAAGGAAAGGGTGTGGGGCTGTGATTTCAGAACCTGCTCCCCAGGATGGCTGGCTGCAAGACATCTTACAGTCCTGGACTACACTAGGCTGCCAGCGAAGCCCGGGAGAGGTTGGGGTGATGGACACAGACATGCTACACACAGAAACAACACATTCCACTTTCTCCTAGCTTCTTGGCAAGTCACCCCTGCCTCCTGCCAAGGCCCCCAGAGAGCGTCCATCCCTTTCTCCATCTCTTAGTTTATATCAGGGATGACAGGTTATCCAGAATGTCTCGCTCATTCCACCTGCCCTCCCACCCCACTACAGGGTTTCTCCCCTTCACGTGCCTGTTTTCCTTGCTCACCTTTTCCCCTGATCCCACATCCCCATAGAGTGTGTCCCCTTCCTGACACTGTCTTCCTCCTTTAACTAGGACCCTGAAACTCTGTGCTTCAAAACAGGGTCTGTTCTGACGGTTTCTTCTCTCAAACCTTCCATCACAGGCAACTTTTCTAGGGGGTGAGTTCTTAGTCTCTAGGTTCTCTCTAGGCCTGGGAGATATTGCCGTGCACTAAGCTAAACCCTTAACTTGAATTTTTTTTTTTTTTTTTTTTTTTTTTTGAGATGGAGTCTTGCTCTGTCACCCAGGCTAGAGTGCAATGGCGTGATCTTGGCTCACTGCAACCTCTGCCTCCTGGGTTCAAGCGATTCTTCTGGCTCGCCTCCCCAGTAGCTGGGATTATAGGTGTACGCCACCACGCCTGGCTCATTTTGTATTTTTAGTAGAGATGGGGTTTCACCATGTTGGCCAGGCAGATCTTGAACTGCTGAACTCAGGTGATCCACCTGCCTCTGTCTCCCAAAGTACTGGGATTATAGGTGTGAGCCACTATGCCTGGCCTCATGAAAAATCTTTTGAAATTTTTTCAATAACCTTCAGAGTTTAGATACTATGATTATCCCCATTTTACTGATGATGAAACTGAGATTCAGAGGGGTTAAGTAAAACCTAAGGACAACTGGCTGTTAATGATAAGTGTGGGATTCAAATCCAGGCCTGTATGACTCCAGAATCATACTTGTCAGCTGTATGGATTCTGTTCTAAATTTCTAATTTTTTTTTTTTTTTTTTTTTTTTTTAGGTTATTTGTCTTCTTAATACTGAAT